TTTTGAAAGTTCCTTTTAGAATGTTCAGTTATTTTAGAGTACTAGGATAAATTTTATAGAAATCCCTAACAGTATCCTAAGCATGAGTAAGGTCATTTTTAGACTGTCAAGTTGCTTCCTAGTATCCTACCCATTTGACAAGGAACTAAAGCTTTCTCTTATAGAGTTAAGAGTTAAGGTGTTACAGTTCTCTACTCTCACACCTTCAGTTCCAAGGGTTCTACACCCTTCTGTACTGGAACTTGGGACTTCTGTCCCTCAGGAGTGCTGTCTATGAACTATATGTGTGCTGACTCTTACTACTACCCTTCCTTACTTCATCATTCCATTCCTTTGACCACCCCTTCATTCTTTGTATCATTCTATAGTCTCTTACCCTTTATCCATCCCTTCATTCTTTGTACCTTTATCTTTAACATTCCTTTCTTTCATTCTTTGTGGCTCATCATTCTTAGTGGCTCATACTCTCTGAGTGCTCTTGTGTAGTTTAGTATATATAGGTGTACAAGATCAGACTGGTCCTGTAGTCTTGATCTTGTCTACTCTAGGTAGTCCTGTACTCTTAGGCTCACTCTATATACTCTACTCTTGTCTCACTCTCTCTCTCTGCCTGTTCTGCAAGTTCTGACTATGTTCTGGTGCTTGCATCCTGTATTTCTGTTGTGTAGGATAGTTGTAGCCTGGGTCCCCTCACTGAGCCTTCAGGTCCCCTCTACACTGTTGCTGACATCAGATCAAGACTACCTATTACCACCCTACAACTCTCCTACATTTTGGGCATTAGTACTTACTGTTGTATTGATCTCTTTCCTTTGTCCTGACCCTTTTACATTTTTAAATTTTAAACTTTCTAAACCCTTTTAAACTTTTGCTACCCTTCTTCTATTTATTACCCCTTTTAGTTTAGTATTGATCCCTTTGTAGTGTAAACATAGACCCTACTACACTGACTACCACCCCTACTGTCCTACTGAATTAGTAGCTACAAGCAGAACTAGCTCAATATGTGTAGACCTCCATCTAAGAGGCTTTTACCAACCATGTGCCTCTAGCCCTTTTAGAACCTGTTCTAATTGTTCTGGAAGTTGTAACCTGTTCTAGAAAGAAAGTGCATGTAGCCTGCCCTTCAGACTTTAATAGGTAGCACTTTAAGGACTTCCAGTACTAAGTCAAACTATACATGGCTGCTACTTTGACTGATCTATCCTTAGATCTCAATTGTGTCCTATTTGTCCTCTCCTTTATGAAGGAAGGCAACACAGCCACCTGGGCCTAGAACTGGATTGAAGGTCATCAGATTGGAAGCCTGATCCAACTTTAGAACAATAAGTCATACTCAGAATTCATAGAGCAGCTCTATGCTTCCTTCATTGATCTGAATAAGAAGTGTAATGTACAGAACAAGCTTGCATCTCTGTAACAGGGCAAACATTCTACTAATGCCTTCTTTCAGGAGTTCAATATCCTGGCCTAGAAGGTAGGATTCATGCTTGGGTTTAATAATGTCCTTATTAGAATGCTTGAAAAAGCTCTTCACCTAGAACTAGTTGATAAGATTCTTAGAATAATGCTAGAACTAGTCACTTACACTAAGTAGAAGACACACACTATCTCCTTTGACTAAGCTACAGCTTGGATGTGTCAAGTCTGTGTAGAATGTCTACACATGTATTTAGCTCTAACAGTTCTGAGCCCTCAGATCAATCTGCCTATAATTTGTAATCAATCTGTTCTAATAGACATTAGAGAAGCTCAAAAGTAAGAAGCATACTTTGCCTACAGAAAGTCAGGACACCAAATTAAGGACTGTCTATAGAAGTAATAGTATATCTGTCAGGTCATTAGAGTAATAATGAGTGATAAGCAGGATTTGTAGTGAGAAGCCTTTTCTACAAATCCAGAAGTCACCTTAGAACTCCTAGACTCTGACTACATACTCTAGGATTTTGTAGAGGCCTAACAGTGAATGTAGTGCTGAAGGGCTATGACTTGGATTTTTTAATGGCTACTTTTGATTTAATGGACACTATAGGATTAGAAGTAAATAAAGTAAGAAAAGTAGAAAAAGTAGAAAAAACAAATCAACAAAATTATTTATTAGATAGAAAAAAGTTGAAAACAAAAGTAGATAGTTCTCCTATTTCTTCTAATTCTTTTGATTCTTCTCTTTGTACTTCATCCAAGTCTAAATCTACACAATCTGACCTACTACTTCTGTATTCTAAGATCTTAGAATGTTCAGAATGTTACCTAGCCCTGTTTACTACTCAGTAGTTTGTCCATAGTATTAAGTAGGAATAGTCTTAGCTGAGTTCACAGCTAAGGACATGAGTCTATCCTTGTCAAAAGAGAGAGGTTAATAAGGAAATGTTAGTACATATACTTACTCTCTTAGATGACAAGGCTGTACAAACTGTACATTCCCTTCAGAACAAGCAGCAGTTTATCTGAGAACATTCTAGGTACTAGCTTT